CGGTGGGCTGGCCATGCTTGGAGGAGCCAAAATCCACTATTACATGCAGTGATTGAACAAAACCCTGTAAGTAAAAGACCTCTGGGAAGACCAAGAATGCGATGGGAAGATAGTATAAATAGTATAAAGAAGGATGTTGAACTTTTAGGTGGTGCTTCCAATTGGAGAGATCTGGCCTTGGATAGAGAAGGATAGAAGCTTAGTTGTTAGACGGGATGGTCTTAAAGGCCCAATAAACCCTAAAAAAAAAAAAAGTATACTGTAGTATAGTTATATCTTGTTCTTTTTCTTATGACTACACACCTTTAATAAAAGATTAAGGTTCTTTAATATGTTCATATTACATTTTTGTTTTATACATTTAAATTATTATAATATACATAATATGTTGGTCAGTTTATTCTAACATAGTAGGTAGTATGCTGTAAGAGCGCATGTCCCATGTATGTTACCAGAGGACACTTTTGATGCCACTGTGATGTATCTATATAAATACTTATTTATAATAGAAGATTTAGAAATACTTTTTGTTTCTAATATTTATCTGGGATGAAGACAAGYATTTAACTATACTTTTATATATTTCAGTCTATAGCCGAATTCTTGGATGGCATGCCATCCTTTGACGAACGCAATTTTTCTCGTTTCCATTCTGACAATGGTCGAAGCAAGCGTGTACCAGTTTACATAACAACTGATGATCAACCTTGCGACCAAGGTTTGTAATTATTCTAATATATTTTTTTTAATTTGATTATTAGTATCTTTCTCATTTGATTAATACATAATACAAACATAATGTTATAGTAGTATGATAATATTAAATATTATTATTATATTATAATGATACATATTTACATTGTATATTTTATAATACATGCTTATTTTCAAATTCTTAGTACTTACTCATTGTTTGTTGTATACAATACAATATGCTATTAGAACTGTTCATTTTAACCTGATTTGTATACGTTTTGGAAACAAATTATTGTAATATGTGTAGAACATTTATATTAAATGACATAACATTTAATATAAATGTTTTTATATTTTAAAATTAAAACTATATTATTTTTAATTTCAGTTATTGTTACTGACAAGTCAAATTTGTTACTCCGTTATTTACATAACCAATGGGATAAAAAGGTAATTGTATAATTCAAAGAACCTATTTAACATACTAAACTTCATTCTTACTGGTTTTTAAATATAAGATCTTATTTTAATGTGGCATACTATATTTTGATATATCTACAAAAAAAAAATAATAATAATAACAAATAATGCTGTTCTCACTTAAAATTGGGTATTGATTACCATTGATGAAAAATTAAACAGTGTGGCATATTGTGCCAAACATCAATGTTTTTTAACTAGTTGATCCATTTAAAATAAGATACTATTTATTTCAAAAACTATTAACATTTTTGAAAATATTTTTTTCATATAATTGTAAATTATATTTAATTAAAAACAATATTCTTCTGAAAAAATTAAAATATTTTCACTATTTTGTATCATTTTTAAATTTCTATATTTTTTGGAATACTTTATGTACAAAACTCTAATTTTAGATGAGCAATTTATGGATTAAAATATTTAAAATTTAGATGTATGCTTCAAAATGTTAATCCACTACTCTGCTCATCTAAACTACTTATTCAAAACTTAATTTTTATAGTTTGTGATACTWTGAATAATATTCTATTTCAGAACATAAAATTAAAAATGTAYCATATAAAAGAGTAAACAACTTTTTTTTTTAAATGGTAAAATATATTGTGTTTTCCAAAAATGTTATTTTAACTACCTTAATAAAGATAAATAAGATATGTCTATGTTTTCTGAAATAATGAGTGTCTTGTGTTAAATGGATCACCTCATATACTTAAATTGAACGTATAAACATAACAGATATAAGTTATAAATTGTTATTCATTATAAGGATTTTCAAACATTAACAATTAAATTATCTTAGATGATATAGTTTGTAGACTTTTAAAATATGATAATTCAATAAATGGCTATTAGTATTAACTTAATTTTTTTATTGCACTTATAAATTAAAATATAAACAAAATCACAAAAATTTTACTTATATAATAGATACTTGGATGTTTAGATAACATTTTTTTTTTTTATTTAAACTAATATTGTACATACTTATTTCTGTAATAATTAATAATTATTAATTATATATAAAACATACTAAACTTGTTCTTTTTGAATCTTATGTATACATATTTATATAATTATAAATTATAGCCAAATCTAATATTAGTTACACTAATAATTATGTTGTATATTAATATATATAATTTATATTCTAGCATGGAGGTAAAAAAAGGGAACTGGTTGAAACAGGCGAAGAATCTGGCTCATCATCTAGAAAACGCCCAAGAGTAGATTTAGCTATGTTATAAAACTTTCTTGCAATACGATTATTCCAATGTAAGTTCTCTGATGTTTTTGGACTAAAATTCTTGATTTGATTGTTTTTAAGAGAAATACAGTTTGCTAATACAAGAATGTATTATTGTCCATAGACCATTGCTTAAAACTATTTCGTAATACACTTGGTATTATTTTGAATTATTTTTAGAGTTTGCTATAATATTCAATTTACAACTGTTTCTGAGTTGTTTCACAATTTATAAGCTTTAATTGTTATACTGATAATATTGTATGTCTAATAATAAGTAATTCGGTTGTTTAACCTTTTTCCATTTGTTTTCATTATTTTGTATTTATATATGTTAATTAAATTTAATGTATTTCTAAATTAACATTTATTCAACAAAATTGTATACAAAAATATTGTTAGGCCTTCGCAATATTATACTTTATCAACAATTTTATATTACAATACAACACTATTTATTTATGTTTCACCATTAGTGTTAAATATTAGAATATAAAACAAAATTTAATACATTTCTATTTATTTTGACATGTCATTTAAGTTTATTATGTTATGTAGATGTCCTGTGTGAACTTCTGATTAAAATATACCCCACAAAAAAAAAAAATTATGCATTTTTATTTGACTATACAATATTATTGTTTATTATAATTTATAAATTCAGTATTAATTTAATGCTAGCTAATAAAATATTTGTGTGGTGGTCATTAAGACAATTTAAATTATAACATATTTTGAGTCTTGTTAAGTTAATATTAGATATTAGAGTACTATTATCATATTTAAAGGTAAGATTATTTGGGCGATTTTTTACTCTCCCGGGAGAGTTTACTAGTTTTAAAAATCGAGAGAGTTTACCACCGCCTGATTATTTTATCGATGAATTTAGTATCTTTTGGGTTTTTAATTTTTTATTGATATTTAAAGTTCTAATAGTGATTTACCTACAAGAATTTTTAAATTATAATATTTACTATTAAAGATAAAATCCAAAATTGATTTTGCTAAATGTGAATTTTTTGTATTGTACCATGGTAAGACAACACGTTAACACATGTGGGTGTGGCACTGCAATATCTTCATAACAATCAAAATTTGATAGACTATACAATATTATAMAATATTTTTGTATGGGTGTTTGTTTATTGATTTGCTGAATAATGTCTTATTGCTATATTATCCTATATGATATAGCCTTATCCATTAAAAGTAAAATACCTATATATTATTATAAGAAAGTACTGTTCTGTTATCCTGCAGTGTTTTTACAATAGTGTAATGGTTTAATAACCATTACACCACTAAACCTACTAGTTATTTAAACTTGACAATATTGACTATTTTTTTTAACTAAATTCTAATCTAATAGCAGATAGTATTAGAAATAGCAAATAGCWACTAAAAAAAACAACTAGCAGACCAAACATATATATAGTGAAACCGAAACCTCCATATAGTGGACAGCCATAGGAATTAAAATATGTCCACTATTGAGAAGACCTCTAAGGGCTCTAAGTAATGGACATTTGCGAGAAATTACTAAATGTCCACAAAATTCTATAAAGAATTGGTTATACATTTACATATATATACATTGAATTTGGTACATATTTATTTATTATGTATTATATACACAATATGTATGTATTTAAAAGTAGGTATTAAATGGTTTATGTACAATTAAAAATATCTGTAATGTTTTTTTGTGTACATTTTTTCTGCTCTTTGCAATGATATGTACATGTATTGTATTCATTTATGAGAAGCAATTCTTAATATTATAGTACCAGTTTTTAGTG